GGGAGCCCGATGCAGGACTCGATCCAGGGACTCCAGGATCATGACCTGAGCCGAAGGCAGTCGCTTAACCAACTGAGCCACCCAGGCGCCCTATGGGCTTGATTCTTTGCATAGCCTCTGTATTTAATGGATATTGGTAAATATTTGGCAGAGGCTATCTTTCATCCACTAGAATTTTTGTAGGTGGTGCAGAGTGGATGTGGCTTTGGTCGGTGGCATTTTTTTTGCTCAAAGTTCCTCAGGGATAGAATCTGGGAGCCTGTTAGGTATATGAGCTATGTTATTAAAGAACACAGGGACAGGGGGCGCCTGGCTGGCTCAGTCGGTGGAGGTAGAGCATGTGACTCTTGATCTCAGGGTTTTAAGTTCGAGCCCCACACTGGGTGTAGAGATTACTTAAAAATAAAAAGAATCTTTAAAAAAAAAAAAAAGGATAAAGAACACAGGGACAGTAACCAAGATATCTTCTTGAGGTTTTTTCATCAGGTTCAAATGCAAAAATATTTCCCTCCTTTGGGGAAAAAATATATGTGCCTCATGGGCCTCAAGGAAATCTCTTTTTCTTTTTTTTTTAAAGATTTTATTTATTTATTTGAGAGAGAGAATGAGATAGAGCGAGCATGAGAGAGGGGAGGGTCAGAGGGAGAAGCAGACTCCCCGCCGAGCAGGGAGCCCGATGCGGGACTCGATCCCGGGACTCCAGGATCATGACCTGAGCCGAAGGCAGTCGCTTAACCAACTGAGCCACCCAGGCGCCCAGGACTGGTAATGATTTTAAAACAGTTATAGGTATATTAAAAACTCCCACTATTTGAGTAGTTCCAGTACTCTGGGGAAGAGTGTAGGGGAGGCGGGTGGGGTTAAGGACAGACAGCGTTGCCCACTGTCTGCAAGCTCTGGTCACCTCATCTCCCGCAGTGAAATCTATCTCCTCCAAAGGACTGATCTGGAGAGTGGGAGAATAAACAAACCAGAACCTGTGGGGCCCCAGAGCAGCCCTAATGTTGAAATTTGGCTTGTCTTCCTGGGAAAGTTGCAATGAAATTTGAGGACGAATCGTCTTGTCATAGCCTCTCAAGTTTGAGACAGTTCTTCCAATGCCTAGGCTTTCTGCAGTACTGGCAATCCCTTGGGGGTGATTTGCCTGGAGGGTTTTGGTAAGAAGGTTTAGTCAATTGCTGTTAATTGCAGGCTCATAACCTGGGTTGCTTATATTTGAGTATTTAGGGCTTGTGTGGGTTTCCTTTTTGTAATGTTTTGAATAGCCTGCCAGAGCTTCCCAACAGTAATTAACTGGATCATGGGGTTGGTTGCATAACAGCCCAGTTAAATTGCAGTTTTTTAAAATTTGATTTGCAAGTTCCTCTTACAAACCTTCAGTAAAAGCAGAATTTAACAGAGTGGAAGTATGATGGTCAACTTTTTCAATGCCAGATAGTTGTTCAAAATTTTTCTCAAATCTTTCAAAATAATAAAGATCCCATTCATCAGATCTTTGGACACATATTTGAATTTTTTTTTTTCAGTCAGTAGTATGGGGGAAACCATTAGGAATCTTTTTGTGGAGTCTTTTAGTTAATTTTGAGGCTTCTTTCATGCCTCAGGCCTTTTTGTGGGGAAGTCCAATAAAGACTCGTTCAATCCCCCTTTTGCATCCATTCTCTGGCAAGTTTTTCACCTACTAACATGTGAAAGAGCTGATAAGAGAAAGAGAATCCTGGCTTGTAAATTTGGACTACAATCAAGAATTCTCTAGCAAACCCAACAGGGTTTTCTTTAGGGTTGGGGAACTGCTTGGTAATAGCTCAGAGTTCAGCTTTAGTCCAAGGAGAATCAGAGACCTGGGGCCCTAAAATATCATCTCCTGGCTTAACTTTAAAAGGGGTACATTGTGGCCCACCTGTACATCGTGGGACACCTCTGTGGCTCAGTTGGTTAAGCGTCTGCCTTTGGCTCAGGTCCTCAGGTCACGATCCTGGGATCAAGTCCTGCCTTGGGCGCCCAGCTCAGCAGGGAGCCTGCTGCTCCTTCTGCTTATCTCTCTCTCTCTGACAAATAAATAAGTAAAATCTTTTTTTTTTTTAAGATTTTATTTATTTGACAGAGGGAGACACAGCAAGAGAGGGAACACGAGCAGGGGGAGTGGGAGAGGGAGAAGCAGGCTCCCCGTTGAGCGGGGAGCCTGATGCGGGGCTCGATCCCAGGACCCTGGGATCATGACCTGAGCCGAAGGCAGACGCCCAACGACTGAGCCACCCAGGCGCCCAAATAAGTAAAATCTTAAAAAAAAAAAAAAAGGGTGTACCTCCTGAGGAGCCTCCAGATAATCATTATAGAAAGGAAGTTCAGCCAGCAAGGGAGATGGATGGTGGATAGATAAGCAGGGGTGGAGCTGATGGAGGGCGGGACGGAGCCGCAGAGGATTCTTCTAGTTTAGTAGGTCTCTGAGACAATTCAGAATTTGCCTTAGTTTAGAATTAGTATCATGGAAAGAAGCAATTTTTGAGTCATTAACACATTTTGAGGCCTTGAAATACTAATTAGAATAAGCTTCCCATTCGGGTTGTTGTTGCCTTATATCCTTTCTCTAATTGATTGCACAGATAAACTAAATTAGGAATCTCGAAAGAGCCCCAAGTTGACCAATTAAATTTTAAATCATTCCAGGTAATCGTTGTCCAGACAGACAGGAATTTGCAGGATGAGGGCCCATAATTCTCACACATAAAACCAGCAGGATTTCCAGAAGGCTGCCCAGCAGCCTATGCCTCAGAAAGCCAACTTCCCATTTTTAAGAGAAACTGAGTACTCACTCAGGCCGCAAACAGAAGTGAGGTCCTAAGAACAACAGCTGGCCACAGAGGATGCTCCAATAAAACAGAACCTCAAACTGGGAAGTTCAGATACAAGAGGACTCAGCAGACTCTGACTGGGAGCACTGGGGAGATAACGGGGCACAACGGACTATGTAAGTACCTTATTCGAATCCATGGTAGAGTCAGAGAGGGGAGGTGAGATACTGCAGGCCCACTTCTGACACCATGTAATATCAAACAAAATTTGCAATGAAGCTGCAAGGCAAACAAAAAATTTCTTTGGGTAACATCCCCGTATGATGTGAAAAGGATATTCAATCATTCTCTTGCTTTGTTTCCAAGTTTGGGATAATTTTTCTTAAGAGCTCTCTTTCATTCTCCCAACACGTCCCAGTTCCGGCAATAAATTACATGGCGACCAAACGTATAGCACATCACGGACATATTCTCCACCTTCTTGGCTACCCTTCTCTTGACATATTCTTATACAGGTTTATCCTTTAGGATGTGGCACCCAGAACCAAAAACTAAAAATCTCCACATATGCCTTGAACCATGCAGGCTACAAAGTAATTCGGACCTCCCATAATTTCAACACTATCTCAGCACCACGCATGGAATGAACAAAGATCACATTAGGAGCCACATGGTATCATTGGCTTATGTTGAACAACTGAGATCTTCAAAGTCTTCTTTATCTAGTATGCTCCTTTTGTAAATATATTTTCCAATGATGATGATCATTGGATGATCCCGTTCCTCTGTAACATAAAGTATGGATCCTAAATTTGTAAACTCTTAGAACCATAGCAATTATCACATCCTACCTACCCCCCAACCCAGGCAAACTGTACCATAGCCACCTAAAGAGTAGCCTCATCGGGTGCTCAGCACCTGGGCCATGAGTCTCCAGTTGCCCCACAGGCCTCTGCTCCTGGCACACTTTTGTTGGTTTTGCCTCCTAGCTCTGATGCTCACTTATTTGCTCCTTGTTCCTGGCCTCTGATCCACTTCTCCTCTCTTGAATAATATTCCATCGCTCTTATAGATCCATGGATAATGAGCCCTTCTTCCATCAGACCCCAGATACTTCTTTCTGAGTCCTGCCCTTTCATGCCTGTGGACAAGCTTGGTGTGTCCCCAGCTGTGCTCTACTCTTGATAATCCAAGAATAGTTGAGGCAGGAAGAGGATTGCCAGAACCTGTATCAGTTGAAATTCAAGGTCATGAAAACTACTCCCACCTTCTGCCAATTTCCTTTGTGAGAACTTCACCATCACATTCTGAAACAACTTCATCCCGCCCCCATCTCCCAACCTCTGTATCCTTTAGTTCATCCTCCAGATCAGGGATTGGCAAACTGAAGCCCACTGGCCACATCCAGCCACTGCTTGATTTTGTTAATAAAGTTTTGTTGAGGGGCGCCTGGGTGGCTCACTCAGTTAAGCATCTGCCTTTGGCTCAGGTCATGATCTCAAGGTCCTGGGATCAAGCCAGGCCCCACATCAGGCTCCTTGCTTGGTGGGGAGTCTGCTTCTCCCTTTCCCTCTACCCCTCCCCGCTCCTTGTACACACACACACTCTCTCTCTCTGTCTCAAATAAATAAATAAAATCTTTTTTAAAAAGTTCGATTGGACTATGCCAACACCCCCCAAAAATTTATTTGGGGTCTTAGGAATTGCAATTTGGGAGACACAGATGGGAGAAAATCCAAATAGTGCTCTGCTGATGGGTAAAAGCACAGGGTATCTAAAGGCAAAAAAAAGGAGGGTGCCTGGGTGGCTCAGTCGTTAAGCATCTGCCTTCGGGGGGCGCCTGGGTGGCTCAGTCGCTAAGCGTCTGCCTTCGGCTCGGGTCATGATCCCAGGGTCATGGGATCGAGCCCCATGTCGGGCTCCCTGCTCTGCGGGAAGCCTGCTTCTCCCTCTCCCACTCCCCCTGCTTGTGTTGCCTCTCTCGCTGTGTCTTTCTCTGTCAAATAAATAAATAAAATAAAATAAAGGCAAAAAAAGGAATTCCAAGAAGGCTTACATAAGTGGTTTTGAAAAATTATGATTGGTTAAAGAGTCTAATTTCTGTTGAATTTGCAGCTTGCCATCTGGGGCTATAAGAAGCAGAATACTGCAGTTTGGCAGTGAACTATATTTAAAGTTCATGTTCTGTGCAGGGGTAGACCTGCATAAGCCCCACTTTCCTAGTGGCCTCATGATTCCAGATGTGCTTTCTTGACAGGATTGATTTCATTTCAGGTTTTTACCTTCCGAGTTGCTTCCTGGACAAAAGAAATGGTCAACCCTAGAAACAGTGTTGACCTGGAGGTTACAAAATTTGGGAGAACATCAGATCTAAACCCAGGCCCATATGGGGAGAAGAAAGAGTCTCAGGGAAAGAATTCCTGGATCCTTAAAACAAACAGAGAAAGGATGGGATGAGGTGGGGATGCGGTAGGGATGGAAGGGGGAAACGCAGACAATCTGTACATTGACAGCATGATTTTAAATGATGGATAAGATCAGTCATAAGTAAAAATCAGCCCAAGGAAATATTTATCTATATTTGATTGCTGAAAGTGTTCTTTAAATGCCCCAAATCCATTCCAATTTACAGAAAAGACAAGATTATAACATGATCATATTTAAGAAAGTGCAAACTTAATCAATTTTATGGACTCTGTCTAAAGTAAGTGTATGTAAACCAAAAGATGGTCTGCAATAAATCTACAAAAAGGCAATCGGGGATAAGGCTCAATCTTCTGTAGCATTTCTTCAGTGTCATGTGGGGAAGAGTCTGCAGTATACAAATATAAATAAACATTTTGGGCACCAAAGAAATGTACTGTTATGTGACAGGCAAGGAGAGTTACCAGACTGCTCCTTGGCCAGGGTGACATAATGTTTAGAACTTCACAACATACTTTATTCTGAATTCAAGTTCAGCAACCAACCCCCAGTATAATCACTTAGACCCCCAATCTCATTGGATTCACGAATGGCCTGGAGAGAAGTTTACCCTGTGAGATTCAGCAGGCCTCCTCAGACCAATCTTTATCTTGGGTCTATCCAACAAGAGGGCCCAGGTTCCGGGTCACATCAAACCCTACCTTGAATCCCAACCTGCCCCTAACCTTGGTTGGTTTACAGCCCTTACTGCTTTCCTCACAGGTTTTTGACCTTTAAAGGGTATAGACTCAGGCATTTTTAGTGTGTATATCTGCTGCACTGTGAATATTGTTGTACAGTAGATACTTAATGGTTGAATATATGAAATGTCTGGTATTTCTCTTTAAGCCATCTCAAGCCAACTCCCCACACTCTATTCCTTTATGACCATTCTGATCTGCTTTCAACATCCCAGTCCAGACATTCCCAGTTTCTCTGTTTATAGTGCACTTAGTATCTCAGCAATTTTTTACAGCACCTGTAGGTCAAAATAAATACCTAACACATATACATTTTAAGTACCTCATTCCTAACAACTTAGCAACCACTTAGAAAAAAATAATACAAGTTGAAGGAAAAAAGTATTTGTTTATAAATACTTGTTTATATTTTTTTTCCTTAATAACCACAAATAATGATTAAGGGGATGTGTGTGCCTGTTGGACACTGCACAACTTCTCAAACCTTGGAATTCAACACTGCTACCCTCATTTCCTCTTCGGGGCTGATTTCCACACAGTACTTACTTTTTCATCAGAGGGACCTCCTAAAACCCAGCTTCACAAAAATATTTTGTCATCAAAAGGACTGTTGCAACAAACTAATGTTCATATTATGAATTAGTTTGAGCCAGTAGTTTGCATAGTATACGAGAGATATTGAATGTGGTTGTGTTTTCCTTAAAATTTTAAAACATCCCAGGGCACCTGGGTGGCTCAGTCGGTTGAGCATCCAGCTCTTGGTTTTGGCTCTGGTCAGGATCCTGGGGTTGGGATCCTGGGGACCTGGGATCTAGCCCCATGTCTGTGCTCACCCCAGAGTCTGCTTCTCCATCCCCCTTTCCTCCTCCACATGCTCTCTCTTTCCCCCTCAAACTATAAAATCTTAAAAAAAAATTTTTTTTTTTAAATATCCATGGTATCCCTGAGAATTTGCACCTTGGCACAGTTTGGGAATTATGGCCCCAGTCACCTCATGCCCACCTATATTTCTGAGTCTATGTAGTGTAGATGAGTGGACTGTGTAATCAAAAAAAAAAAAAAAAAAAAAGGTGTGGTAGGAATGAAGCTGTGCTAATGCTGGAGCCTAGGCCTAAAGATGTCTTACAACTTCTCCTTTCACCCTCTTGGATCATTGCCTTAAGTAACACCATGCTACAAAGAAGCCCTGTCATTGGGACGTCTGGGTGGCTCAATCGGTTTAGCATCTGCTTTCGGCTCAGGTCATGATTCCAGGGTCCTGGGATGGAGCCCTGTGTTGGGCTCAGCAGGGAGGCTGCTTCTCCCCCTCCCCCCTGCTCTTGCTCTCTCTCACTCTCTCTCTCTCAAATAAATAAATAAAATCTTAAAAAAAAAAGAAGCCCCATCAAGCCAGCACATACTGTTGCTAGACATGTGAGTAAGGCCATCTTGGGCCATTCAGTTATTTCCAGTCACCCACTGTGTATTCACAAATGAGCCCAGGTGAGACCAGTGAAAGAACCATCCAGCCAATATGCAAAAACACAAGGAAAAAACACATATCACTTTGTTTGGGAGTTATTCATTACGTAGCAATAGACAACTGAAGAGCAGAAGAAGTATTCCTCTCCTCCATGCTGGTAGGGTTTTTTCCTACCTCTTTTATGGCCCTTCTCACAAATTACTACCTTGCTTTCTGGGTATGTGTCTTCTGACCGCTACCAGACTATAATGTTACTGAGGGTGAAACAATTTATTGGCCTTAGATTTCTCCTAAAGTACTATACTCAGAACTGTAGGTAGTAGATGATGAGTCCGTTTGCAGAATAAGTAATGGCTCCTTGGAATTCAAGTCCCAGAGGAATTTATTATAAGGCAGTTTTCATTGTGAGAGCACTTAGAGAGCCACTGTCCTTCCTTAGCTCTGTCCCACATGTATATGGGTGGAGGTGAGTCCAGCATTGAAAGGCATCTCTAACAGGACATATTCAGGGATTATTCCATCACACCTTCCGTCAGTGCCTCACATTCCTGTCCAACAGAACATGCTTCTTATTGGTTAATATTTACGTCTCCTTTTGCTTCTCTAGCCACACATTCCTATATATAACCTAAAATGAAAACATCACCAAGAGCCCAAACTACTAAAGACATGAGCCATTCTAATCATCCATCCCTTTAGGATCCTTAGTACTGTATCCCCCTCTCCTTTTCTCTCACATTTTTATAAAGATAAAACTAGATTTAAATAGACACCAAGGAAGGGCCATATGCACCCCAATGTTCAGAGCAGCAATGTCCACAATAGCCAAACTGTGGAACGAGCCGAGATGCCCTTCAACAGATGAATGGATAAAGAAGATGTGGTTCATATATACAACGGAATATTACTCAGCCATCAGAAAGGATGAATACCCACCATTTGCATTGACATGGATGGAACTGGAGGGGATTATACTAAGTGAAATAAGTCAATCAGAGAACGACAATTATCATATGGTTTCACTCATATGTGGAACATAAGGAATAGCATGGAGGACCATATGGGAAGGGAGGGAAAACTGAATGGGAAGAAATCAGAGAGGGAGACAAACCATGAGAGACTCTGGACTCCAGGAAACAAACTGAGGGTTACAGAAGGGAGGGGGGTGGGTGGATGCGGTAACTGGGTGAGGGATATTAAGGAGGGCACGTGTTGTGAGGAGCACTGGGTGTTATACGCAACTAATGAATCATTGAACACTTCATCAAAAACTAATGATGTATTATATGTTGGCTAATTGAACATAATAAAAAAATAAAATAAATAGACACCAAATATGGCTTTGGGGAAGGTGGAGAGAGTCATAAAAGGACAGGTTTTGGAATGTAAGTGTAACCAAGGTACAAATAATGATTGCTGCTCCACTCTAGAGTGAACATTTGCATTTGTGTGCCAGAAATACCAGAAAGAGCTGCAGACTGGCCTGTCCCCCTGTAGAGCTACAAACCCATCCCCATTTTGTATCCAGAGGTTCCTTAGTTCATTAGGTGTCTGTGGGAGGTAGCTGGCGGAGGGATACAGCATCTAAGTAGAAGCTGCCCCGGGGAGAGTTGTCTAACAATCAGAACCCAGGGGAAGTCTCCAGCTCCTGTAGCAGCCACAAGTGCTAGACAACAGCAAGTCCTTTATCATTGTATATTTGGGGTGGGTTGTACTTCCTTCAATGTTAGGCTCAGTGGAGAGGCTTCTGGCTAAACTGGCCATGGTCCTTGGAGTTGTCTTTTCAATTCCTTGTCGCCTCCCAGATGTAAAGCAGTTACAGTTTGAGCTATGACCTGGGGAAACCCCAGGTGTGGTTTAGGCTCCCATAGAGACTACATGAGATTGGAAAAGGAGGCTGGTGGGGACACTGTCTGCAAAGGTTGGGTTCAGAGGTTACTAGTAGACATCAGAGTTCTCCTTTGGTTTCTGGGGAGGGGGTAAGGTAGAACCCTCATCTGAAGGGTTCTTCAGGAAAAGGCAGCCATTCCAGCATTATTTTCAGTTGAGGAGCCTCTACATTTAATAGACCTGAGCTAAAATGGCCCGTCTGTCTCAATCAGATATTTACCATGACCATGAGCTGGAACCATCTCCCTGGACCTCCCAGTAGTTCTTTTTCCTATGACAGTGGGGTCCTTCCCATCTGTACTTGCTTAACTAGAGGAAATTACTTCAGTAACATCCAAAACAAAGACGATCTCTTTAAGGTGACTCACTTTCATTCTATCATCCATCATTAATCCCAGAATAATAGTCTACTCATCCTACACTTACATAATTAAGGAAATCCTCCTACATTATTCTTTACATAACAAGGGGTCATTCACCTTGACTTCTGACCCTGCCCAACTTGAAACACCCAACAAAGTTGAAAGAACAAAGTTCCCTAAGTGGGGGGATCCTACACATTTTATCTCTGTCTGGGTACCCATTTAGTAGAGCACTTTGGTAGACTTGAAAATTGCAGGTATCCCCTACTTTTTGCAAGTTCAAGTTATGCCACTTTGGTTTTATGAAAGACCTACATTAGTACAAGTATACCTCAGAAATATTGCGGGTTCAGTTCCAGACCACTGAAACAATGAGAATATCACAATAAAGTGATTCAAGTGAATTTTTTGGTTTCCCAATGCATATAAAAGTTATGTTTACACAATACTGTAGTCTTTTAAGTGTGCAATAGCATTATATCTGAAAAAAGTACTTACCTTAATTAAATACTGCTAAAAAATGCTAACCATTAATAAAAAATTTAAAAAACCCCAAAGATACATACCTTGTCATCACTGTCTACAAAAGAAAATACAGAT